AAGATGTGAATGCTCAAGTATAATTGTAAATTAATTTCTAACCTTATTCTACCTTTTAAAAATATGTTCTTCAAATAAGCTTTAGTTTCAAAATAAAATATTATATTTCAAGTTAAACTGTGTCTCTAGGCATGAGATGAACAGACTGCAAGAACAATCCAAGGTTTGAGTATTTTTCACAACTGAAGCAGATTGCTGTACAATGATTTAACTTGGTGACAGGAAGTGATCATAAAACTGAATGAATATACAGGTAAAAATATACAGGCCAAATGAATATACAGGTAAAAATTACATTTCTGTTTACCTAAATTGTATACTAGTATCTGAAATAATTTATTTGGGATTATTTTTTCCTTCTTGGATTAACTCATGATCTGGTAATCCAATGGGGAGTGTGCTTCATGTAGACATTAATAGCAAAGACATAAGTTCTAGGAATTTGTTCTGTGGATATTCCCTAAGTAAACAAATTCTTACAGAGTGCAAGGATGTTCAAGGACACATTGCTTTCAATAGCAAAAAATAACTGGCAATAACCAGAATTTAATCAACTGGAGACCAGAAAAATAAACTATGAAATAACCATATTACAGATAGAAAAACAACAAAGTATATCTATATATGGTAGGCTTAAAGATGTCTAAATTTATGTATACAAATATATATACAGATATAGAAATATATATACTATATATAAATATATATATATATATACACTCTATATCCATATACAAGAACACATGTGTGTTTGTTTACATGTTTATAAATATTTGTCTATTCATAGAATATTTTGGGAGGGATACACAGGAAACCATTAACAGTGTTTACCTTTGAGAGTGGTGTGAGGGTAGAGCAGAGATAGGAGAGTGTGTGAAATAGTGAGAAGGAGATATACTTTTCATTTCATGTTTCTCTGTAGTATTTGATTATGTTGCGTACCATTGGTACATGATATCTCTAAAATGAAACCAAATCAAAACAGAAATTGGAAATGAAAATAAAACAACTAGCAAAATAATGATATTATAAGATTCTAAATTCTTCCTGTCAATCTTTCTTAAAGTAGACATGACCCTGCTGTCTTCAGAAAGTGAGAAATGATTTCAGTAATTCCACTGATTGATTTTACATGAAGCACAAACAGAAGGATAATTCAATATCCATGGCCAAAAAGAGAATCTGTGAGTTGTCTGCTTTAAAAAAATAAGCAAAATAATTTGTTACTATATTACCACTTTGTATTCTATGACTTCCCTGTCAAAGAAAAGGGAAGCCTGAAAACACAGAATCAAGGCTATCAGTTAGGAAGCCTGCTATGAGCCATGCATCTACTTTAATAAAGAGGTTAGTTAGAGGTGATCCAGCTTGCTAAGGCTTTGCACCTAGTTAGTGTCCACATCACTCAAAGTCAGCCCTCTCTTTCCACTATATCAAGTTCCTTTGGTTAAAAAAAAAAAGGTACAAATTATATTGGAAAAGCAGAGTATTCAAGATGTTTTGAAATCAATGAAATTTTAGCCACAATATCTTAGCTTAACAAGTAATATGGGTAAATATGTACAGAATGTATAGTTTGTGCCAGACACTATTCCAAGCTCTTTCCATATATTAATTTATTTTATTTTTCCACAGTCCACAAAAAAAGGAACTGTTATTAAAACCTGAGTTTTTCAGATAAGAAAACCTAAGCTCAGAGGTTATGTAACTTGTTTATCAATAAAATTTTTCTTTAGGTTTACTCTAAAACATAATACAACTTTATTATAATGTTTTAAAAGTATATGATATAAAAATAACTTTTCAAAATATGGTCATTTAAATGCATTTATTCTAATATTAAAGATATGCAGATCAAAATAAATAATGATTCTAACATGCTTAGCTCAATGATTACAAATTAATGATTAATTTATTTTAATTATAAGTTATGCACACACATACATAGTATCACGTTCACCTGTACTGCTAAAAAGTAGGAAGTAGAATCACTAAAATGAAAATTATGTCAGTTTTTCAACCCAATTTGACTAACATGGTTCAATAAACAGTAGTCTAACCTTCTACATGTTGTTTTAAAAATGGATTCTAGTCTTAAAAAAAGATTTTAGCAGACAGTATTTTATAAATAGGAAAATGTAGGTTGGTGAAGTGACAACCTCTGACCACAAAGTAACTCATTAAAAGTAACCTACCTAGAATTTAGGAGTTATTGATTTTTTCCCTTGTGGTGACACCACAAACCATGAAAAATGTGTGGTGTACCATCTGAAATACATTAAACTTCACTAGTACTTTAAATAGTTCTCCTAAACCATCAGCCATACAGAAATCTAATTAGTTTACTAAATGTGCACCAGCCACAATCATATTTACTTAAGACTCAAGGAAAAATACTGAATACACTGAACTCCATTAAATTGGATGAAATCTTATATGCCATTCTTGTCTAATGCCCCTTCAAAGCAGGAAATCCATCTAAAACATACTTGAAAGTTGATCATTTCCCTCTAAGTATATTTCAGTGATTAGATTGACTCTAGTTTTAGAAATAGCCTCTTCATCTTTGACAGTTTTACTGGCTATGGAAATTCTTAACCTGAATCAAAATTTGCTTCCTAATATTTGACCCATTTGTTTTGGTTTTGCCAAACAGAACTATATAGTCCATCCCCCTCCCCCAGAGTAGCCCTTCCCTTCTTTGTAGACAGCCATCACATCTCTCTAAATCCTTTCCAGGTTAGTTGTCTCCAACTATCTCAAAGTTTCTTCTAGGACTGTTTTTTGACTTCTTGTTGTATGGTTAATGTTTCTGCTGAAACATAATCCATGAAAGTCGTTTACTGTGTCCCAAAACAGTCTGAATATTGTAGATTTCAATGTAACCATGGCTTCCTCCATACTGTTATTAATGAAACAGGCCTGTGTTGTTTTTGTAGTTTCTATTCCTAAGCATTCTGATCCCACAGTAGATTGCTACTGAGTTTATGTTAAATTACAATTTCAAGTCGTCCTTTACATTAACTTCCATCGGATTATGTCTTTCACTCTAGTTTTCAATCTATCACAGTAAAGTTTCTCTACACTGGCTTTACACATAATTTTAATGCAGGGAGCTTGCTGTTGTAGCTATCCTTTCAGCTTTGTATCATGTGCATATCTAATAAGTGGTTTCCTGTGTTTTCATCCAAATCATGAATCAAAAACTCTGAATAGGTCAGGGACACGGACAAAGACCTTCAGCACGCTACTGTGGACTTTAGACCAGGCAAACAGACACTAATAAACATAGGATAAATATTAAAAAATTCAGCTTAGATAAACTCCTAAATAATTTTATAACCAGAAAATCTAGCAAATGTTATTCCAATTTCAGCAGATATTTATGTTTTATGTTATATGGTTTAGATTTACTTTCAATTTTTAATTGCTTTTTTTGGGAGGGTAGTTTGAGAACATAAATTTTCCATGGCTAGAGCTGCTCAAAGAACTGTAAAATAATAATTCTATAAATTAGGGATTATTATCCCCATATGCAGATTTAGAAACAAATTTTAGAGAGTCAATAACTTGATTATGCCTACACAGATATTAGCAGAGCCAGAATAAAGCCCAGACCCATGACTGCACTTGTTCCAAATAGGTCTGTTAACTAAATTCAGTTCTCTTCTTTATCCCCCATCACTATCATATCACACCAGGGAAAATATTCCTTCCTTGAGCCTGTGTGATATTCTATCGTAATACTACCATCTCACTTTCTTTCCACTTTTACTATCATTTCAACATTGTTACACAATCAAGTCCCACACCCTTTTCGTTCAACAAGTAAAAAGATAGGAAAGTGCCTGAATGCACCTGTTTATATAAAACAGCTCACATACATTCTCAGAGACACATAGGAAACTATTTCTATCACATGAAAAATTTAACAATACTACTGGGTAGAATGCATTATCTAAAGCAGCATTTTAGTTGAGCCATTTAATTAGTGACATTAAACACTGTTGAAGGTCCAACTCTCACATTAGCCTCTTTATCAAGCAAATAAGCATAGATAATCGAGATAATTTGGGATTTTAGTCAGAAAAAAAAAGAGTTCAAATGTATCCCCCAACATTTACTAGTTTCTCAGGAGAGTATGCTAGGACTCTTCTGGTCTCACCCTATATTTTCTCCCCAACTGATCTCTTCCAAAGCAATGGCTCCATTTTCCAATTCTAAGTCAATAACTTTCTAATACATTTCTAAGGCTTCCCTTCTGACCATTAGTTCTGTGTATCCCACTTCCCTCAAAATTCCCACTGGAGTTCTCTCACAAGCACTTCCCATGTGGCATGTTACAAACTAAACTTGCCATCTTTACCCCCAGTTCTCCAGTGATCATAATTTTGGTCAACACTGTCCACTAGATACCCACGTCAGAAACCTGGGAAACGTCCTGGGTTCCACCTGCTGCACTCTTTACAATCAATCTCAGCAGCCTGTAGTTCTATTAAAAAAAAAAAAAATCTCCAAAGCTGTCCACTACCCTCTTGCTTCCACTACTATCTCTCTAGTTCACACTACCTTGTTTTCCCCCTGGATACAGCTAACATCACTTAATTGGCATCTCCACTCTTTCCTATCTTTGATTCACTATAAACAGGGAGATATTTCTAAAATCTAAAGTCACTCTCTTGCTTAAATTCATTCTATTACTTCCCCTAGAAAAAAACGTTCAAATTTCTTATTGTGCTTTATAAGGCCCACATTACGAGCCTCATCTCCAACCACTCTCTTATTTCCAACCCTTCTAGATTTCTCTCATTTCTTCAGACTCACCATGCTCTCTAAATGTCGTACAGCTTATAGAGTCTTTCTGGCATTCATATCCAGAAGGCAGTGATGGATATATGGAATTACTTCCAGTTTGTTTAAAGAATATCAGATACTAAGACCTCTCTACCCAGATTCATTAAAGGGTTCAGGGGGCCAGGGGAAGGGAATGAGATACCAACCTGAATGAGCATCCAGCTAAACTGGCAGAGATACAGGTAATGTGTGACAGCAGCCACAGCTGAACAGCTCTCCTCGGCAAGTTGAGGACTTACGTAGGCAGACACCAGAAACACAATCTGTAAGAAACAGATAATTCTATTTTTAAAACATGCTCAAATCAATGAAGAATATTAAGAAAATAAACCGCTTTCTTATCTAAATCTATAATTCAAAGGGAAAATAAGTTGATTTGTTGCCCACACTGATATACTGAGTCATTCTGAAATAGCAATATGTGGATTTTTATATTTCTAAGAAATAATGAATGACATGAAATTATGCTGCATGTTGGTCTAGGCTCTTAAGAGGAAATTCTCAAAGTAAACCTTGTTCTTATCACAAAGACAAAAATCCTATGAAATACATTTATTTTAGCTGAGTAGAAAAGAGAAAATACAGTGGAAACACCAGTCCTTATGTAACTCAAAGATAATGAGAGAGAAAAGAAAGAGAAATAAAATTTTTGACTTTACCAAAATGGACTTAAGATAAATTTAAAAATTCAAATCCTATGATTATACTAATCTTTGGATTCTTATTTCAACTGCCTTCAAGTCTTTGTTCAAAAATGCAGCACCTTTTATAATAGCTTCAAAGAAAATTAAATATCTAGGAATATATTTAATGAAAGAGGCGAGAGACATATACAGGGAGAACTACAAAACACTAACAAAAGTCACCTTTATAATAAGGCCTCTCTTGACTATGTAATTTAAAATTTCACCTTCTGTTTTTCTTTCCTTCCCATAAATGTGATTCCTCTGATTCTACTTTTCTTTTTCTAACTAGCACACATCACCTTCTAACATGCTTTGTAATTCACTTATTTATTATGTTTTTTGGTTATTGTTAGTCTTATCCACTAGAATGTGATCCCTACAGAGGCAAGATCATTGACTGTTTTGCACACTGTTGTAGCCCAGGCACCTAACTCAGTATCTGGCACATGTAGGTACTCAAAAAGTACTTGTTGAATAAATGAGCAAATGAAGTGAAACACTCTTTGTGATTTCCATCTATCGTTTATATTTTCTCTAATAAATGACTATGATGTCAAATTTGAAATGAAGAGTGTAGATAGCAAGGGAAAATTGGGAATAATAAAATATTGTACTATAACCTCTCAATGAATAATCTCTCTCCTTAAAGACAGGAATCAATTTTTTTACTATATTTTCAGAGGCTACCACTGTACCTCGAATATAGAGGTGATCAATAAATGTTTATTAAAAGAATGAATGAATGATTCCAAAAGGACAGAGGGGTGTTACAAGGAGAAAACTAGCTGACTTATGCGTCAATCCCCTTCAACTTTTTAAAAAGAAAACATGGGCTGTTATCCCAGTACTTTGGGAGGCTGAGGCAGGAGGATCACTTGAGGCTCAGAGTTCAAGGCAACAGTGAGCTATGATTGTGCCACTGCACTCCAGCTTGGGCGACAGAGTGTGATCCTATCTCTAAATAAATAAATAAATAAATACATGAATGTCTTTAATGCTGCTTGAATTTATTTTAAGAAAAGAATAATGTGCTTAAAACTAAATCAGACCAATGGCATAAAATATTGTTTTAATTTTCAAATGAAATATATCCCTCTCCAATCCTCTTGTCCCAAGAGTGTGCCCATCAACTACCTTTAAAAATTTCTGCTGGGGGGTTCTCTTAGGGCAGCAGCCTTGTGGTGACTTTGTTAGGACCTGTGGTGAGGCCTTGCATGTTCCTAACATCTCAATTCCACAATGAAAGACATATCTTAACCTGCACCTTAGTCAGTTACATAATTCCAACATGCTAATTAATAATAAATTTATAATTTATTAAGAATTATAATTGCTCATAATTTATTATTAATAAATAATTGTTCACTGTAAATTAATACATTTACAATGATATGCATTCTCATACTATGCTGAAGTGACGTTTACTTCTCAGGAATTATTTATTGCATACTTCCTGCACCTGATCAGGTATAGAAGAAAAACAAATTCCTTTTTTTTTTTTAAGAAGCCTTGGACACTGAACAAGTCACTTTCCCTTTCTGGGCCTAATTCCCTCATAAGTAGTAGCAGGAAGTTGGAAATGATAACTCCAAAGTCCCTTTTTACTCCAACTTCAAGATTCCAAAATTATTGTTATAATGAGAAGTATTCTTGATTCAACTTTCTGGATTTGGAGCATTTGTAATAAACACTATTAAAAAGGACAAGTGTCAGAGTGTAAAGCAGAAACTAGAAATTTACGTCTGTTTCCTAACAACCTGGGTACAAATAAGTTCCTTGAAAAAAATAACATCAACAAATGCCACCTTTCTAGAACACACCACAAAATAGCTCTTGAATTATTACAGCTTATTTTTAAAACATGCTTAGAATTCTTAGACTTTAGCATCTAACTTTATTATTTATTCTGACTTTTATGATAGGTCACAAATTTAACCTTCCTAAATTTTTACAATTATTTCTTGAACACCTTCTATATACTAAGCACTGAAACTATGACATAAAAGACCTTAGAAGCATAGAACTATGTGGTTCAGCCAAAACAATAAATAAAAAGTAATCATTTTAACATTTTATGTTCTTTCTTTTTATATAGTGTCATCTATTTCTATCAATTCTCTATAGATGTACTTATCATAAATTCAAGCCTCTGTAATTCAGATTCAATAATATGGATTGTGTTGAAGTTTATTTGCTAGTTTTGTTCTATTCAACCTAAACAGTTTATGTAAAATGATAGTGTAATCCAAATTGTAATTGAATATATTTAGATTTTTTTAAATTTGTGAATTCAAGCATTTGTTTCTATATGAATACATTTAGCTTTAAGCAGTCTATTAAACTATATATAAATTATATGTTAACTTAAACAATGCTTTTTTTGAATATTTTTTTCTTTGAAACAATTAATCAGTATAGGTTATTGTTTAAAATTGTATTTACATTACTTCCAGAAAGCTTTACAATTTTAACACCCAAAATTCCATTCTTAAGGTATGACTTCATATTAAGAAGACCAGTTATAAATCTACTTTTGTAGATCATAAATGTTGTTCCAGAATATTGTCTGAATTATAAGAATTACTTTATCTGTACAGGAGAAGATTAGTCAGCAAGAGGAGGCTGAGCTGTCACAGAGCATGCTGCTATAAAAGGGATGAGCTCAGAATACTTGGAGAACCAGGTATTACGTATGACCAGTCCTATCCAAAATTAAATTAATTTAAATTAAGACAGATATAAAATGAAATGAAATCAAGTGAAACAAAATAAAATCTCCTGGCATATTTAGCTCACTTATTTTTAAGGCTGCTAACCTAAAAATGGATGGAATTTTACTATTATTCTTTTACTCAAACACATAGACATTGTAAAAAAAAAAAAAGGGGTTATTTTCACAGTCGGTTCTCTGAGAGCATTAATTTGAACACCACAAAAGAAAGAAAGGAATTTTTCAAAGGTTCTCAGTTGCTCATATGTTGATGCATTCATTCAGTGTTTGAATGCCTACTATCTATAAAGCATCCTGCTAGGCAAAATGAAGTATATGATGGGAGAAAACTACTGTGTCCCAGCATGGTGCCACCTACCTTCCCTGTGTGCGTGTGTGTGTGTGTGTGTGTGTGTGTGTGTGTGTGTGTGTGTAGCTCAATTTTAATGATTTGAAGCCATTACTGTTTTTATCCCAATTTAACAAATAATGAAATGGGATCTGATAGGGTAGATAACATGTTTAAAGTCATTAATTAAGTTTTAAAGTTAAATTAGGATTCAGATTCTGGTGTTCTGATTTGTAAGATAAGCATTCTTTCTAGAATACCATGCTGCTGCCTACAAAGTTAAAGCAAGCATAAGTCCTTTCTCAAAGTGCTGAAATTCTAGTTTACTGGTTATCAATCCTTTTTCTTAATTTCAGCATATTACGGGGGTACAAACATTAAGGTTACCTACATTGCCCTTGCCTCCCCACCCTTGAGTCAGAGCTTCAAGCGTGTCCATCCCCCAGATGGTGTGTATATACCCATCCCCTCCCTGCCTCCCACCTGCCCGACACAGGATAAATGTTTTTATTTTTTTAACATTTTGGTTATATTTTATATCTTTGCCTCTCCCTAGCAAGGGTTAGAGGTATGCTATTCCCCTCCACAATGCTCACCACATCCCTCAGATGTGGGACTACCCCCCCATCCCCAAATCCCCGGTGAACACCACCACCCTTTGAGCACCATAGTGTTAATCAGTCAGTACCAATTTGATGGCGAGTACACGTGGAGTCCATTTTTCTGATCTTGTGTTACTTCACTTTGGATAACGGGCTTAAACTTAATCCAGGATAATATAAGCAGTGCTAGCTCATTGTCGTTTCTTAGAATTGAGTAATATTCCATTGTGAACACATACCAAATTTTAATAATACACTCATGAATTGATGGGCACTTGGGTTGTTTCCACATCCTTGCAATAGTGCATTGTGCTGCCATAAACATTCGGGTGCAGATGTCTTTATAATAGAATGTCTTATACTCAATCTTTGTAAATCCATGGCCTGCTACAGGTCCAAAATGGCAATACAATATAATGCTAATAGCAAATATAATACTATTTTTAATTCCATATTGATATAACATTCATGCATCTTAACTAAATATTAATAGAAAATAAATATTTTCCCCCCAAAGAGTATTTGAGATATTCTCTCTTTTTAAAAAATATAGTTACTTATAAAATTCTCTGCTTCTCTTGTTGCTTAGGGTTCCGCTATGCTGGCCAATAAAGGAAATGTAGAGTAAATACCTCCTTTTTTTTTTTTTTTTACTTTAAATATATAGCATGTGTCTCTGCTTGCTTGGGTTAAATAATAATAATAATAATAAAGATTGTTTTTTCTCTATACTCCTTAATATATGCTCCTTCCTCCCCCACTTTATTATGGACACTCCCACTCCTTTCTCTTTAGACTTATTCTTGAAATGACCTTCTCAGTACTCTCCATCTTATCCAAAACCTACTAAGCGTTTACAGGACCAGTCCAAATTCCACCTGCCTACTCTAATCGTGGCTGGTTCCTAGATTTTCAT